CATCAATTTATACAGTGCTTTACACATATATATATTGTACATTCACATCAGTCCCTAACCCTCAAGGGGCGTACAATCTAAGGTCCCTAACTCACATTCATACATACACATACTAGGGACAATTTAGACAGGATCCAATTCACCTACCAGCATGTCTTTGGAGTGTGGGAGGAAACCGGAGTACCCTGGGGAAACCCACGCAGCCACAGGGAGAACATGCAAACTCCAGGCAGGTGGTGCCGTGGCATATTTGTGTTACGTTGGCGTCAAGGGGTTAAAGATGGAAGTATACTTCTTTTTCAAATACTGGGGTTGCTTGATAGGGGTAGGATTTTTGCAAGATCAAAGGAGACACCAATGCAAGTTTTCCTAATGGAAAAAGATGCAGATAGGATGGGTTTCGTAAACTATGTTCACCTGTGTCTAGAAGGGATAAAAACAGAAAACACAAACCCCTCATACATCTGATGGTATATGAGCTCAAACAAGTCAAATCTTTCTTTAACTTTAATACTGAGAAAATGTGAATGATATTGGTATAGAAAGTAAAATATGTGCAATGATTTTCAGTAGATATTATGGCCTGTAAAAACAGTTTCTAACCCATCTTCTGTCAAGGGATGCAAACAAAGGGAAATGTACTTGAAAAGAGAAAAAACCCTGATATGAAACAGCTTTACAAAAGATATGGATGCTTGACCATCAGCAATAATATGCGTTACTAAAAGAGTAACTCCACTTTTGTTGAGAAAAAAAAAACAAACATTTCCCTCTGGGTGATCCATGTACATTGCAAGTATTTTATCGAGCTTTGTTGCAGTTTCCTACCCTTTGGTATTCTGAAGAAATACCTGTTTGTCTGTGTTCAAGTGCAGAGTGAATCTGTATGGGAGTGGTTTTATAATTATAAACCAGCTGCTGCACTTGCAGGGCTCCAATGAGGAAAGTTGCAGGGTCTGCATCCCTTTAGATGTGACTTTTTTTTTTTTGGGGGGGGGGGTATGTCACCAAAAATTTACATTTTCATTGCAAGGGATGCCAAAAATCTAACTTGTATCTAAGAGCAAACTTCTGGGAAAGTCAGTGAGCCAATCACGCAAACAGGAAATTACTTATCTGGGGGTGTTCTGTACACCATCTGTGTACAAAAAGCCTCCAGGTAGCCATATTAAACTACATTTTACAGAAAATTAAAGCTCTGCAGATTGAAAAAAGAAAGGTAATTTTGTAATTTTTGTGGCGGCACAGTGGCTTAGTGGTTAGCACTTCCGTCTGGCAGTACTCGGGTCGTTGGTTCGAATCCCAACCACGGCACCACCTGCCTGGTGTTTGCATGTTCTCCCTGTGCCTGCGTGGGTTTCCTCCAGGGAACTCCGGTTTCCTCCCACGCACCAAAGACATGCAGGTAGGTTAATTGGATCCTGTCTAAATTGTCCATAGTATGTATGAATGTGAGTAGGGACCTTAGATTGTACACCCCTTGAGGGTTAGGGACTGATGTGAATGTACAATATATATGTAAGCTCTGCGTAAATTGACGGCGCTATATAAGTACCTGAAATAAATAAATAATTTTTAATGTTATTCAATTACAATAGGACTTGTGTAGCAATTGTAAACCCTATATATTTTTTTTTTTTTTACTATTTTTTCCCCCATGAAAGTTGAGTTACCTTTTAAATAATCCGACCATATTAAAAGTATGACTGAAGATCAAATGTCTAAGAGGGTAAAAGTGGCAAAAATAAGGAGAAAACGTCAAATTGTCTGACAGAGTATGGTGATTGGATGAACTCACTAACAGGAAAAAGAAGATGCTGGGCCATGGCTAAGGACATAGGGAAAAGAAGAAAGCTCAAGCAGGAAGCCATGACTCTTGATTACACAGATTGCGTTGATGAACAAGTATAGCATAAAATTATGTTCCTTTCCAAATCACAGGGCCTTGTGGTAAATCTATTGAAAATGATTTCCCTCTTTTTCCATTCTCTCTCTATTCTTGGGGTCTCTACCCACATGGAAGAAAAATATATGTGAAATATATTTTAAAAATATTCTTCCCAAATATATTGACATATATATGAAATGCTTCAATTTTAGCCATATTCAATATATTTCAAAATATATTTAAATAAATATATATATGTATATACACACACACACACACACACACACACACACACACACATATATATATATACACACACACACTGCATGTTGAAACGCGTTATTACAAAATATATAAAAAATACATTTCAAATATACTGTATATGCCGTTGAGATGGAAAGCACAAAATTTTGTAATTTTTTTAAATTCTTTTTGCGAGGTATCCCTCCTGGTCTTCCTATTCTCTGGTTTACATGTTAAATTATCAAATTATATTTAGCACCTTGACATGTTTACTCTTCTGTGCCATTTTCATTTGTAGCCCCTGCGTACTTGGTGCTCACTTGGTTAAATGTTGAAAAAAATGGTTGCACCAGAAAAGGAAGTGCAAGGCCCCTTTCAAACGGGGCGGACACATCAGCGGAGGATCTCTCAGCTGATCCTTGAGCAAGTGGATGACAGGTCTGTGTCTGCTCTGCTGCTCCAGAGCGGACACAGTCCACTGTTTTATATGGGATAATTTGGATGGAAACGGACCTCCTGTCCATTTCCATCCAATTGTCATCCAATCAAGGCACCCTTTAAAATTATGGACAGTCCCAAGGCACCCTTTAATAGTATGGACAGTATTGAGGCACCCCATTCTAAAATGTCAAAAACTATTCTAATATTTTTATATAACGCAGAAACATCCACACATGTAGAATACCCAACATTGGACGTGATTTATTCTTCCAAAGCAAATACACTTTTGCACACTGGTACAGACTAGTATTCCAGTGTTTCTATTTTCCTTCAGTTTTCCTCCATCACTGAGCTAATATGACCTCAGCACTGATGTAAAGGGGCAGGGGAGGGGCAAACTAGGAACTGTGCAGGCAGCTGACATCCTCCTTATCAACTGATGATGTCATTGGTTGTCAGGACGCCGGCGGCTAGTAGATTGTAATGGTGCACAATGAAAACCTGTGGTTGTGTAACTAAAAGGCAGACTTGTCCCACCTGCTGGCTTGTGTACACGTTTTGGGCAATTTTTTGAAATTTTGCCAAGGCACTCCTGAAGAAACCTCAAGGCACCCTGGTTGAGAAAGGCTGCTATAGAGCAGTATGTTCTTTGGTCATACAGACAAATGATCTTGTTTACTTATGTCTCAGCATTTACAGACATCCAGGCTAATAACAGGAACCATTAATGCAGATCTTAACAAAAAATATTTCTCCAGTACAGGAATAAAAATTCTTTATGAGTATTTGCTTGGATGACAACACATAAATACATTTTCACCACATCCATAAAACACGTGAGAAAAATTTATATCCAAGTCTGCATGTGATTAACTTCTGGCTCAGATAAAAAAATGATGCTGTATCTAAATGGATTTAATCTGTAGTTTAGGAGCAGATTCCATTTAGTCAAGGATGATATATCAAAAAGTGCTTTGCACTGCCCAAAAAGTGTTCCTGGGACAGAAGGTACTTCTTGGATAACTTCAAAATCCTTACCGTCTTTGTGAACGTTGATGATGATGTTAACAAGATTAACCATAAAAGATGTCTGGATGGATTGTGGTTACCAAATGTATGGGATGAGAAGGAGTAGCATATGTAGCTCTATCCCTTTGACAGCCGCTGGTTTTGGCTCTCCCTAATTTCCTGAACAGCCAGGCAACACGCATTTTTCCATACGCACATAGGCTTGGTTTTTTAGGATTTATTAGGAAATTCAACTTGGATAGGGTAAAGGGGTTATGGGATGCCCAATCTGATTGAAGAAAAACAAAATGAGGATGGTATCCTTCTCTAGCACACTATAAAATGACAGCTATTTGACTGTGTTCCAGCTGGAATCACAGCAGTCTTTAGGAAAGTAATCCCCTCCTAGGAATTTGGTGTCACTGAGTGGATTTTCAGCAAAGTGACAACTTGTAGGAGCACTCAGTCCCCTTAGAGAAAAAATACCAGCCCACCTGGCCAAGGTATCTTATCTTAAGGTAAGGTCTTGGGTAAGCATTAAACTGTCTCCCTGAAGACTTGCCAAGAACTTGCATCTGGCAGACTTCTTCCTTATAGGCCCTGGGGTGCAGAAGTACTCACACTGTCCTTGTCCTGTAGCTATGGAAAGAACTGCTTTCAGGCCTTCCGCTGGGCTAGTTCTGGTCAAGGTTATGTAGGCTGTCCTCTGTCCAGTGGACTGCAGGCAGTGGAGCTTCCTCTTTCAGTTTTCCTCCTTCCTCCAACCAGCAGCCTGAGGCAGAACCCCCCCCTTCTCTGGGGCCCCCTCCCAGGCTACACAGCAGCACCTCAGCCATCCATCTTCCACCCAATGTCCCTGCTGGCCAAGCTCTGACATATGTATGAGCCAATCGTCCACACTGCCAGGCCTCCTTCCTGGGATTGGTCAGACTCGTATAAATATGCAGATCAGCTCCTCCTCACCTCCGCCTACTGACTGCTAGAAGCTTCTCCAAGCTTCTATGGCAGGGGTAGGTATCAGAGGACTGTCCTGTAGAGCCCTCCAGCCTGCCCTGCAGTAAACCATCTGACCAACGCCCAGGCTTCTAACAAGCCTCTAGCTACAATAAATAGCTATCTATACTAGAGGGTGCTACAAGATTAGCACAAGCCTCACATTTATGCGGCCTGAGTATGGCTGCAACAGGCCTGCAGCTTCTAGGATACTATGTCAGTAAGTGTTTAATTCTAATGCTACAAATCACTGCCACAGACCTGTGGCCTGTACCACGTTATGCTCAGCTACGCTCTACAGTATAATGGCCAGCCTGAGTAACTTATGTTTTTCTATACTCCTGTAAGTAGCAAATGAATAAGAGGACATAATGTACCGTATTTTTCGCTCCATAAGATGCACTTTTTTCCCCCAAAAAAAGGGGGGAAAATGTCAGTGCATCTTATGGAGCGAATATGGAGCGGCCAGTCCGGTATTTCCACCGCTGCTGTGTCAGAATACCGGGCCGGCCGCTCAGCTCTGCAGCGGGACCTTATGGAGATGACTGCTGACCTTTGGGGAGGTGGGGGAGCAGGTACCTGAATTTGACAGGTACCCGCTCTTACTTCCGCGGAGTTGTTCTTTGATCTTACCTGTTCCTCTATCCAGCGGCGCGCTGTCTTCCCGGCTTCTGTAGTGTGGGCGCTGGGCTTGACAGCCGGGTGTCAAGTGCGCATGTGCAAGAAGCGGTGCTTTTTGTGAATGGTAAGGCGGTACCTGGGACACATGACAGATCCCAGAAGCCGCCGGACCAATCACAAAGCGCAAGTGCTTCTCGCTCATGCGCATTGGGCACCTGGCTGTCATGCCGAGCGCCGACACTAAAGAAGCCGGGAAGACAGCGTGCGGCTGGATAGAGGAACAGGTAAGGTCAAAGAACAACTCTGCGGAAGTAAGAGCGAGTAGCTGTCAAATTCAGGTACCCGCTCCCCCCCCCCTCCCCAAAGGTCAGCAGTCGTCTCCTGTACTGTCCCCAGTCTCTGGTCATCCCTGTGCTGTCCGCAGCAGTCTCTGGTCATCCCTGTGCTGTCCGCAGTCTCTGGTCATCCCTGTGCTGTCCGCAGTCTCTGGTCATCCCTGTGCTGTCCGCAGTCTCTGGTCATCCCTGTGCTGTCCGCAGTCTCTGGTCATCCCTGTGCTGTCCGCAGTCTCTGGTCATCCCTGTGCTGTCCACAGTCTCTGGTCATCCCTGTACTGTCCACAGTCTCTGGTCATCTCCTGTACTATGTCTGCAGTTCATTAGTTCAGAATTTTTTTTTCCCCTATTTTCTGCCTCTAAAACCTAGGTGCGTCTTATGGAGCGAAAAATACGGTATGTCTATAAAATATAAATATTATATTTTACCTTACAGAAAGCAGGGATCAAATTTGTAGATATAAAAATAAATCAGGAATCAACAGCCTGCAGCACGTATGCTAAAGCTGGGACTTGTACCGCTGTCAGATGGCATGAAGGACCCATCCGGATCCTTCAGTTTAAACATTCTAGCAGGAACATTAAGTGAAGGTATTAATTCTAGCAGCTTGAAGATTCCTTCTGTGATTGGTCACTGGAGAGTAGGCGGTAAATCTTCATAGTTAAAGCAAACAGAACATAAGCCGCTGGGTACATGCTGTATTGGAAGTTGTGACCCCCTATTGCATAACTGCCCAGGTGCCTGCAGGTGAATCAATGGAAACATCTCACTTCACTACACGTGTTCACTGAGCCTACCATGTCACCATTCTCTATGCTGGGAATCTCTGTTGTAAGAGTGCTGACATATTTGGGTCAATATACAGTAGTACTGGCTGTGTTATATAGCAGGTTAAAATGATAATCCTTTCCTAGACTGTGCTTCAATAAAAATGTTGCCTTACCATGAAGGCTATTCTGTTTGGAGGAGATATGCATAGAACTTCAAAGTATTGTACTGCACTATATTTCCATAAAGAGAAGCTGTCATACAAACACAATGGAGGCAGCCATTGTGTGGATTAGACCAGTATTATAAACACAGCTTTCTTCGGAGATTGTGACATTGTGTGAGCACAAGGCCCCTGTCTCCAACCCTCTGCAGCCCTGACATCAATCCTGGGATTTTGCTGCACAGACACTGATGATTTGTTTTTTTTTTTTTTTCTTTTTTTTATTGCTGCACTGGCACCAATCCTGGGGGTAATATGCTTCACTGACAATAATATTGGGGGTAATATGCTGCACTGGCACCAATCCTGGGGGTAATATGCTGCACCGACATCAATTCTGGGGTAATATGCTTCACTGACACTAACCTTGGGGGTAATATGCTGCACTGACACCAATCCTGGGGGTAATATGCTTCACTGACACTAACCTTGGGGGTAATATGCTGCACTGACACCAATCCTGGGGGTAATATGCTGTACTGACACCAATCCTGGGGGTAATATGCTGCACTGACACCAACTGGGGTTAATATGCTGCACTGACACCAATCCTGGGGGTAATATGCTGCACTGACAGCAATTCTTGGGGTAATATGCTGCACTGACACAATCCTGGGGGTAATATGCTGCACTGACACCAATCCTGGGGGTAATATGCTGCACTGACACCAATTCTGGGGGTAATATGCTGCGCTGACACCAATCCTGGAGGTAATATGCTGCACTGACACCAATCCTGGGGGTAATATGCTTCGCTGACATCAATCTTGGGGGTAATATGCTGCACTGACACCAATCCTGGGGGTAATATGCTGCACTGACACCAATTCTGGGGGTAATATGCTGCACTGACACCAATCCTGGGGGTAATATGCTGCACTGACACCAATCCTGGGGGTAATATGCTGCAACTGACTGACACCAATTCTGGGGGTAATATGCTGCACTGACACCAATCCTGGGGGTAATATGCTGCACTGACACCAATCCTGGGGGTAATATGCTTCGCTGACATCAATCTTGGGGGTAATATGCTTCACTGACACCAATCCTGGGGGTAATATGCTGTACTGACACCAATCCTGGGGGTAACTGACACCAATCCTGGGGTAATATGCTGTACTGACACCAATCCTGGGGTAATATGCTGTACTGACACCAAATCCTGGAGGTAATATGCTGTACTGAAACCAATACTGCTGGAGGTAATATGCTTCACTGACATCAATCTTGGGGGAAATATGCTGCACTAACACCAATCCTGGGGGTATACTATTGCAGTCAGTCACTGATACCAACTTTGGGGGATGTTATTGAACTAATTGACACCAAAGATGGAGGTTGTTATTGTAGTCATTGATACACATGTTGGAGATTAGTAATGCAGACACTGACACCAATGTGTTGTTACTGCAGTCACAGACACCGATATTGGGAGTGGGAAAAGTGAAGAGAATTCTAGGATGCATCACTAGAGGGGTCACCAGCAGGAGGAAGGAGGTCCTGATTCCTATATACAGATCTCTAGTTAGACCACACTTAGAATACTATGTCCAGTCTTGGAGACCTCACAAAAAAATATTGATGAGGTAGAACTAGTCCAGCGACAGGTAAGAAAAATTGTCTGAGGGATAAAACAGATCAGTAGAGACTTCAGGAACTGAATAGCTACAGTCTGGAGGAAAGGAGGGAAAGATGAGACATGGTTGAAACCTTTACATACATGAAGGGGGTGAATAAGATTCAGGATGACAGTATTTTCAATATGAATCCAAGATCAAGAACAAGGAGACATTACTTCGAACTAGCAGGAGGAAATTTCAAAACTCATCTTAGAAAGTATGATTTTACTGAAAGGGTAGCTGATGCTTGGAATAGACTTCCAGCAGAGGTAGCGAGTCAGTCAACAATGTACACACATACAAATACATTTAAAAAAAAATGGGGAATTTGGGTAGACTTGATGGACAACTTGTTTCTATGTTCCTATTATTATTGCTGTCACTGACACCAATGTTGAGTTATTATTGAGGGTTTTATGATCAATAGACAGATAGATAGCTGTATAAACACATACACCTACTATAAATAAACCCCTCATAACAAAGAACTATACTTCAACTTATCTGCTGAAGTTCAAAGAAGTCTCTTAGCACTGTTCTCAATCACAATCTGTAAACATCATGTCATCTAGTTAATATGTCACTTCTCAGCCTAGCTAATGATCATGCTCACCTTTCCTCCACATCATACCCTCACTACACTAATACCTCATCCTTCATTTGGTGATTTTCACAGTAATCATAAAACTTCATGAAAAGATTCAGTAACAATACTTGATATTTTCGGATAAAGCTCTTAGTAAAACCAGATAGGATGTTGTTTTCTCTACTCCACCTTCCTCCTCTCCAATCCTACACAAGCATATTAAAGGAGGAAACCATTGGCCAAAATGACTGGGTTGGGTTTTTAGCTACAAAAATATTCTTAACGGCTTTATTCTACTTGCAAATGTCTGAACAGATTAAAAAAAGATTGTTTAGAGGAAAAGAGTAAAAGGAAAATAAACCATTTGGAGTTAAAAAAAATAAAATAAAACCATGAACAGCAGTACTGGGAAAGAATCACTTAAACCTGCATAGTGAGCAATAATATGGATAAAAGCAATACTACTCACAATCTATAAAGTTTATAACTGTCAGCATAACAAAAGCATGCTATCATTTCTGTAACTTCCCTTTCAAGGCGGACAGTCTATTTGCCTTTAGTAAATCAACCCCATGGTACGAGCAGCCTTGGTTTTCTTGTTTCTTTGCTAAAAATTTAAGACCAAGCATACACAAGTAGTGGTGCACCGAAATTAAAATTCTGGTGCCAAAACCGAAAATTCAAAATGCACTTGGCCGAAAACCGAAATGCGCAGTTTTTAAAAATGAATATATTTTTGGAAAAAAATACACTTTGATTAAAAAAAAAAAAAAAAAACCCAATATATATCCCATTTTTTTGGAAAATATGAAAGAGAATGTTACGGCGAGTAAATAGATACCCAACATGTCACGCTTTAAATTGTGCATGCTCGTGGAATGGCGTGAAACTGCGGTACTTAAAAATCTCCATGGGTGATGCTTTAAAAATTTCTACAGATTAGCAATGTAAAGTCAGCAAATTCTGTACTCCTGCACTGGGGATGGACTCAGCAAAGGCTATGGTAACAATTTAGATGTCCTGGAATATGCACTCCTTGCTGTCCTCAACGGACCAGGGTAGTCCAAAGTCACTAGATACAAAGAAAACAAAAAGAGGGCGCACCGGCCTAGTGCATTATCATAAAAAATATTTATTAAAAGGATAAAAAGTAGGTATCATACTCACAATTGACAAACAGGACAAAGGCACATCACTCTAAACAGTGGTGTCCAATCCACACTGCATATAAGTCCAAAAATGGAACCCTGGACCACTAGCGCATTTCGAGGACTCAGCCTCTTCCTCAGAGCCTCTAAGAGGCTGAGTCCTCAAAATGCGTTAACCAGTTGGAAGTCCAGGGTTCCATTTTTGGACTTATATGCAGTGTGGATTGGACACCGCTGTTTAGAGTGATGTGCCTTTGTCCTGTATGTCAATTTTGAGTATGATACCTACTTTTTACCCTTTTAATAAATATTTTTTTTACGATAATGCACTAGGCCGGTGCGCTCTTTTTGTTTTCTTTGTAGTAGTGTACAGTTCCAGAGGAGGTCTAGTGTGAGAATTATTGCTCTTGCTCCGACGTTCGTGGCAATACCTCACATGTGTGGTTTGAACACCATTTACATATGTGGGCATGGCCTACGTATGCATTCACCACTACGGGGGGGTTGAGGGCAGTTTAAACTTTTTTATTTATTTATTTGCACTGTCCCTTTAAAACATTTTGAATCGCTTTGATTCTTATCACAAGAAATGCGTGCATCCCTTGTGATAGAAATAATTAGTGACAGGCCCTCTTTATGGAGAGATACGGGGACAATAAGACCCCACATCTCTCCTCTGCAACGTAAAGCATTGGATATAAAAAAAAGCATTGATATAGTGCTTTAAAAAAAAAAAATGTCAGGAACTGGAAGG